CTCTCTCTCTCTCTCTCTCTCTCTCTCTCTCTCTCTCTCTCTCTCTCATCCTCTGGCTCGAAACATCTGCTTTTCATGGTAGTGATGTCATTGAGGTGGTGTCTGTGAGTGAGCTGAGTTTTCATTTCTAATCAGGCCTTTTATTTCTCCGTTCTTGAAATAAAGGCAAACTAGTTTGGCTAGATCTGAGAACTATCACCTCTGACAAGCGTCACTGAGAAGACTCTATCAACAGGATTGGATCTGTGAGGCCTTAAGGGTTAAGACTGAGACCATGAAGGGAAGTTCTGAGGAGAGAAAAGTGCTTGCAAGAACTATTTTCCCCCCTTTACAGCCAAGCATGTCCTATCTCTGGGATGGAAAGTCAAAATGAAGAGACAGCCTCACTGTGGTCCAAAGGCCAGGGTCACATACTGCCAGGTACAGTTGCTGGGACCACAGCTGGGTCCCTAGAGGAAATGCACACTTAGTATTGGGAACAGAGAGAGTGTGATGGGGGACTCCGTGTGTGTGCTCCCACATACTCCCCTTGGGAGGCCTTTCATACCAATCCTACAGCAAGGTAGAGAAAGGGAAAGGATGGAGAAAAGATACGCAAGTGATAGACACTGTCCTGGTTACACACATTTTGTCTACTCTCTGGATCGCACTTTTCTCCATTACAGTTACATGAAGTCAGCTGGATCATGAAACACTAAGGGGAAAATTCCAGAAGCAAACAGTTGATAAGTTTTAGGGTAATTGCTGTTCTGAATGGAGAGATGAATCTCCAGGGACACAGACTGTCCCTTCATCTAACATATCCACACCGTGCACACTACACACACACTAATCATGCTTAGCCATCTCGGTATATCACTGGCATAACTATTTTTCAATCAAAAGGTCTGTTTAAATTAGGTTTTTAAAAGTAAAATCATATCATTTTTGGCTAATTAGCACATCCACATGACTTAGCTTTCTGAAGGACCTAATGGACACAAAGTTTAGGGCTCTTTCTTCACTTTTGCCCTTCAGTCCTCCTTGGAGATACCCAACACTACAAGTTTGGGTGTCTTTTCAAGGTTCATGCCTAACATACACACACATGCACACACACACACACACACACACACGCACGCACATACATGCACATACAAACACTCATGTACGTACTCATACACGTACATAGTCACACTTCTTTTCCACATAGATCACTGCATGGTTTACACCAAATTCTACACTTTGCTTCTTTATGTCTCTCTCAGAGCTCTTCCCACCTCAGAGTACAGAAAGCTACCTCTGATACCCATGGGAACGGACTTACAATTTAGTTTGCTGTTAGTGAACACTTGGGCTGTTTCAGTCATCTGCTGCTGTAGGCTGTTGCTGTGTATCTTGACACTATCACCACAGCTGCAAAGGACAGCAGCTGTGAAATTGCCCAGGAAGATGCAGAAAGGGAGAGAACGCAGCTCAGATGCTGATGTGAGGCAGAAGTCAAAGACAGCTGTCCTAGAACTCAAGAAATCTAACTGCCAAAGGGATATAGACTCTCCCTTGAAATCCCCTTGCTTTTTGTAATTTATGAAACAACTTTAGTGCTTCTTAATTCATTTAATGGATCTTTTGCGGGGTGGGGTTTGGGGGTGAGGGAGGCTGCTTCCCAAACTTTTCAACTTCCTAGCTTCATGACTCACAGCAAGTTTCTAACATGTTAGGGTCCTGGCTCACTTTGTATGACATAAACATGTAAGAGCACCTGCCTCAGAAGACCATTCCAAGTGCTAAGATTAGGTTGGGTGCTTGGATTAAAAGCCTGTCACACAGCAACGCTTGGTTCTGCAAGTGAGGAAAAGAAAACAATCTCCTCATTCCTCAGAGACAGAGCTGTCACAGGAGCAGGAATCCAGCCCCCAGCATGAATCTCAGCTGTGAGGGTCTAGGGAGACATTCCGGAAACAGACAGTGGTCCTGGACCACAGCAGCAGCGGTAAAAGTAACGATTGCCGGGGAGTCTGTCTGGTTCTGCTAGAAGGTTCTAGTCCAGCTGTACACCTAAATCTGTAGTTCATTAAATCTAAGCTGTCTATCGAGTATTAAGAAATATGACTGTTTTATTGAGGGAAGGGGAGAAAGTGAGAGCTGTAGGGAGGGGGAGGGAAGAAGGGAAGAGGAACAGAGGGTCGAGTCTGCCAACTAGAACAATAGGACGCCACTCTTGGCTGCCCAGATGTTGTCTAGGCACCACACCCCTGGATTTATTTGTTTATTTGTTTGTTTGTTTACCTGCCTGAGTGCCTTTGACTACTGAGTCCAGTTCCAGCTTTTGTCCAATCCCCAGAAGTAGGCTAAGTGCCTGGCAGAGAGGAGGCACCAGTGGGCAGCACTACTCCAAGCCAGCTCCTCAAGGTTCCCCTCTCAAGCCCCAAAGACACTAGCACCAGAGAGCACCACCCCCTTTCAAAGTCTTTACCCAAATCATTCTTCTAACATCATTTATCTGACCCCCCAGGCTATGGTCTTTCCACTAGAATACTGAGTGGTTTCTGTTTTTCCCCTTAGCCTAGCTCTCGCATGATAACTTGTCTTAAAAATGCTAAATAAAACTCAGAATTGATGATAGCAAATCCTACCACAAGGAATTCACGGCCTTCAAGTTGGCAATGCCCCCTGTCTGCCCCACTGTTAACCTGGACATAGGGAGTAGATGCCAGGTTCAAGATCACACAGCCATGAGTGGGAGTGAGGGGCAGACCATGACCTCAATTCCTAAGCCCATGTTCGTCCCACCTTCTGGAGTGACTGGCTTCTCTGTTTGGGGGTGAAAGGTCACTGACATGCCTCACAGCACATCGTCCTTATTGGGTCACTTTTCCTTCCAGGAAGTCCACGTTGCTGGTCAACAATGGATTTGCAATTTCTGCAGCGTTGCTGATGGCCTGCTCACTCCAGGCAGGAACCTTTGAGATGCTCATTGTGGGACGGTTCATCATGGGTGTGGATGGAGGTGAGACTTCACCCCAGTTGGGGAGGAAGGCAGTAACGCTCCCAGGGCTGTCTAGAGTGGAGAGAGGTGCTTGAGGCTGAGCTAGACTTGGAAGATACCAAGACTTTAGAACTCCGCAGAAAGTAGGGCAGCCAGGGATGCTAAACCCTCCCCTACACAGAGCCGTAACAACCAACCTGAGGAAACCAGGCTTGGAAGAGCTGAGTCACCGCCAAAGTGCCAGATGGGTTACAGTGTGCCATGCCACCCTCTGATGAATTCTTTATAAACTCTATACTCTAGGTGGTAAGCTGCAAGCTCGGCTAAGAAGCCTAGGTTTCTGACTGCTCATTCTTCCATTCGTTCATCACATATTAGAACACTGACTATGCGCTGGGTTCCATGTACTTGGGAGAACCCTGCTGCTGGGGCAGAAGGCACCTAATAAGGCACAAATCCTAGGAAGCAGACCAGGCAGGGCAGAGGGCTAGCAAGGAGGTTTTTAGGAAAGCCAGTAAGAAGGATTGGGAAATGTGAGCAGAGATCAGAATGAACAGAGATTGAGAACTGACTGGAAATCTGAGAATTGGATTCTCAGGGGAAAGAAGATTGGTCCTGAGGTTGAAGGTGATTGGCATTTCTGAGGAAGAGTGAGAGGCCAAGGACCCTGGAACTTGGTGAGAAGGGGAATGTGGCAGCTGAGGCTGAAAGAGAACCAAGGCCAGATGGTGCAGCCCACAGTTAGGAACAAGTGTTGGTGCTGAGTCTGAGAGGGAGCCAGAAAGGGCTGAGAGGGACAGGGCATTGGTTCATCAGTGCTACCGTATCCGTGAGCACTTGATATGGAGTGCAAGGGAGTTCCAGAAGTGGGGTCCAGAGGACCAGGGACAGCCTGTATGACAGGCTGATTGTGTGGCAGGACAGGCAGAGAGGAATGGCCAGACTCTGCCAATGAAATGAGATTTACAGACTCAAATTCTTATCAAAGGAAACTGGTTTTGGCCTAACCCTGCAGATTTGTAGAGAAAAGACTCTAAGCCTCAGTATCAGCTCTTCTTAGTTTGTGTTTTATTGCTGTGAAGACACACCATGACCAAGGTAACTCTTATAAAGGAGGATATTTAATTGGGGTGGCTTACAATTTCAGAGGTTCAGTCCATTATCATCACGACAGGAAGCATGGCAGCATGTAGACAGACATGGTGCTGGAGGAGAAGCTGAGAGCTCTACACTGAGCCCTAGGAGAGGGACCTCAAAGCCCACCTCCACAATGACACACTTCTTCCATCAAGGCCACACCTCCTAATAGTACCACTCCCTCTGGGCCATGCATTCAAACACATGAATCTAAGGGGGCCAAGCCTATTCAAACTACCCCATGCTCTAAACGTTCTACACTTTTCCTTTTTAAAAATTATTTTTATTTATTTTGGAGGTAATCTGTGTGCCACTGTGGAAGTCAGACGGTGGCTTGCAGGATTAGATTCTCACTTTCCACTACATGGGTTCCAGGAGTCAAACTCAGGTCATTAGGCTTGGTGTCAATCACCTCTACCCATTGAGCCATCCTACCTGCCTATATTGTGTATTCTTAATGTTGTCAGCTAAGTTTGGGTTCTCTTGCTCAATTTGAGATAGAATTCATGAAGAGAGAAGGAAGGCTTCACCCAACAGAATATTCGGGACTTCTCTCGGAGTTCCATAGGGTTCAGAGTACAGCAGGAGGAGGAAGGCCTTAGGTGCAAATACTGTACAATACATTAGCCACAGCCAAAGCAAAGTCCATGGGAACAGCAGATAGATACCAAGTGGGGACAAGACTAAAGCTTTCCTAGCTTTCTGAGTCTCTTTCTTTGGTCCCTGCTCCATAGAGGGACCAAATAGCAAGGCTGCCCTGGTTGGATGACATCAGAATGAAATCATCCTGTGTGCGAAGTACTTGGTCTGGCAGAATCCTGTCTGCACCTACTCCAGGTGTGGTAGGCTATTCTTGTCTTGAGTGCTGCTGCTGTAAGTTTAATTCTAAACTTGTAAGGAGGCAGGTCCAGGTTTGGAAGCAAGTCAGAGGAAGGCTGGGTGGGTGGGAGCTGCTTGGCAGCTTCCCCAGGGAAGTTCGGCCGTGCTCGCTGGAGGTTGTTATATTTCATCAGTCGCTTTCTCCTTGCCTTTGACAGCCTCCCCGACTCACGCTGTACTTGTTGCCTTCTAAATTTCCACGTTCACAGATGAATGCAATTCTTTCACAGCCGCGGACTCAAATGCCTTTTAGACCCGTTTTCCTGTGAGCTATTCAGAAAGGAGCAAAAGAAAAGGGAGAATAAGGGAACATTTAAAACACATTCTGATTTCTGGAACACAGAATCTTGAAGCTGTGCCAAGACCCAGAGACTTCATGTCGTTTCTTCTCACCAAATCCTTAGAGCAGAGGAGGGCAAAGTGAGGGCGGTTAAGGTAAGGAAGTTGTATAGGAAGAGAGGAAAACCAGACAGGGGCTAGGTCAGCTGTGTGCTTATAATAAAGAGTTCAATCCACGGCGGGGGGTGGGGCAGCTCAGTGTCTGGAGTGCTTGTGTAGCACTCACAAAGCCCTGAGTTCAGTCCCCAGCACCATATAAAACCAGACATGGTGGCCCATGTCACATGGAAGGTAGAGGAAAGAAGATCAGAAATTCAAAGTCATCCTGGACAGGCTTCACTACATACCGAGACCAAGACCAGTCTGGTGTGTCTGAGACTCAGCTTCATAACAAAAGTAATCCCAAACATTCTAGAAGTAGAAAGATCTATTAATAAGACACTGTTTGCCCAATTTCTCATGGAGCAATTGGATCAGATTGAGAATCTAGGACACCCTTTTTCCCCTAGTGGATTCGGAGAAACATCAGCATACTACTTTTATACAGAAATAAATATGATTCAATATGGTGTTGAAGACAAATTCACACAGAACGCAGAATTTAAAGTGGGAATTTGGTGTTGGTCAGAGATTGTACTGAACATGGCCCAGGCATGACCTCCCTCTGGTACAGTTCCCCATCAGGACACAAGCCATGCCAGCTACAGAAGAAGTTCCATGGTTTCTGTTGCTGAAAATATGCAATAATTTATGAGGTTAAATAATAATAACTTACTGTAATAATAATTTGTAAGTTTAATCTTTTTAACAATATTATCATCATTGTCATTTTCTATTTTGTAGATTATTGTTATTGTTAATCTTCTTCTGTGCCTAATTTATCAGTAGAGCTTCCTATAGTCATTCATACACAGGGAAACCTTCATCTGTGTAGAGTCTGTTGCCACCCACAGTTTCAGGGATCCACTGAGGGTCGTGCCGTGTGTCCCCTATGGGACAACTGTACTTCCAACTACTGATGAGTTCTGTGAGGAAGAGCCAAGAGGAAGACACGGAGAGGGGCGGAAGGGCTAATTTCCCAGTACTAGTTGGGGAAGGTTGCAGTAAGGAGGTGTATTAGATTTCTGTCATTACTGACACAAGATGCCACAAACTGTGTGTGTTAGAAGACTAGCCATGAGTACACTCATGGTTTCAGGACCCAGGAGCTCCAAATCGAAGTGTATTTGTTACTCTGTTTGTTTGGCAAAATACCTGACAGATGAATCATAAGGGAAGAAGGGCTTGGGGATATAGTCCGACCTGGTGGGAAGGCATGGCTGCAGAAGTATGCTGTAGCTGCTGTCATTGCTTTCCCAGTCTGGAAGCAGAGAGTGAACAGGAAGTAGAGCCAGTCAGTGAAACCTCAAAACCCACCCCTAATGAGGCTCTGTTCTTTACGCTTCCACTGTTTTCTGTGCCAGCACCACCATCTGGGGACTAAGTTTCAAATCCATGGGTTTGTGGAGGGTGTTTCATATCTAAAACACACTCAGGGTGTTAGTTAGCAGAACTGACTCCTCCCCAAGGCTCTGACAGAGACCATGTGCATGGCCTCATCCCAAACTTTTGGTGCTGCCTAGCATTATCACTTGGTGATTCTGGGCTTGATGCTGCTGCTCTCCAACTCTTTATCGTCACACGCCCTTCCTTACGTGTCTCTGTGTCCTCATGGGCCTTCCTATAAGATGCTAGCACTGGGTTTAGGCCCATCCAAAAACCCTTATCACCTCATCCAGACATAATAATACTGGTAAAGACCCTGTCACCAGATAATGTCAGACCCATGGGTAATTGAAGATAGAGACAGAGCATGTTCACCTCCTACAGTAGGAGGTGATGTTGGACTGAAACAGGAAGGATAGGTGGGCATCAGCCTAGGATCTCTGAAGATAGAGGATTCGAAACAAACAGATGAACCAAGGTCAGTGTCCTAGAACATACTGAGCCTAGACGGTTCACTGTATCCCAAGGTTCACACATGGAGGGAGAATGGATGGCAAGGAATAGGATCAAAAGTTGAACAATGCTGCTTAGGAATGGGGATCCTTAGTTAGTGACATATCAGCCTGGACAGATGGTACCGGCATGCCAAGGTGTGTCAGGGGATCAGGGGCCAGATTCCAGGTTTATCATTTCCTCCTTCACCACTGGCTTAGTACAGTCACCATAAATTAACAGCTTAATGTGCACTAGTAACTCTGGCAATCCATATATATATAGTCACTAACGTATATATAACATATATGTCACTAACATATTTATATATATCCAGAATACAGTGCTCATGCTGCCTACAACTATACCTTATTCAGAGAGATGACAATTTAGTAATGCAGATGGCTATCACCCCAAACAATCTACTTTCTCTGGGCTGTCTTCAGCTAGCATATTTTATAGAGAATTTGAATAAAGATAGCCAGCTGTCCACAGTTCAACCTTGCCCTGCTGGGTAGGGCTCGGCCTTGTCTTTGAGATGCATGGTGTTTGTGTTTCTCTCCTATGGCTTCGTGCATATTCTTCTCATTATCATCTTCTACTTAGTGGAGGGTCACATATTCACAAGACCACAGCATCTCGTGTTCCTCTCAAGGCACTGTCTAAGTCAAAGGTCAACTAAGAGCAAATAGCAGGGTGTGCACTCGGAGTATGTGCAGTAGTTTTTCATAATACAAAGCACAAGTGTGCTTATAATACAGAGAGGTTGTGGCTTCATCTGTCCCTTCTGTCTACTCTCACCCCCATGGCACTGGTGAACTAGAGAAGTTAACACCACACTGTATTAGGTACTTTCTATTGCTGTGATTAACCCCCCCCCCAAAAAAAACCCCAAACAACAGCAACAAAAGAACATGATCAAAAGTGAGTTTATTATGGCTTATGTTTCCAGAAGAGAAAGAGTCTATCCCGGTGGAGAGAGGCATGGTAGCAGGCAGCAAGCATGGCAGCAGGGACAGCAAGACGAGAGCTCACATCAGGAGCACGAAGCATAGAGAACAAACTGAAAGTAGGACAAGGCTATGAAGTCTCAAAGCCCACCCCTGTGACATCCTTCCTCCAGCAAGGCTATACTACCTAAACCTTCCCAAACAGCACCACCAACTGGGAAATAAACATACAGCTACCCAAGCCTATGGAGAACATCTCTCATTTAAAATGCCATATGTCCTCATGACCATGACCCACTCTGCTTCTTCCCCATGGCAGTTGTCTTCACTGTGAGCTGATGAGCATTCTTCCATGGTCTTGGTGTAACTTAACAGGCAGGAAACACAGCGGCATCTGTCAGTGTGGATCAGGTGATCAGTGACAACTTTCTCACTGTTGTGTCTTTCCCTCAGGCATCGCGCTCAGTGCACTCCCCATGTACCTCAACGAGATCTCACCCAAGGAGATTCGGGGCTCTCTGGGCCAGGTAACTGCCATCTTCATCTGCGTAGGTGTGTTTTCTGGACAGCTGCTGGGCCTGCCTGAGCTGCTGGGAAAGGTATGTGGGGCCTCCTGGGCAGCCATGGCGTGGTGGCTTTCATAGTTCTGCCACAGGAGACCTTCCTTTTAGAAAACTCATCTCTGAGGTAGTGATTCCTGAGGGCTCAAGTGTTTTACATATTCATGAGGGAAGGTTGTAGGTGCCTTTTACTTTCTTAGAACATAAATAGTACATAACAAACTCAAACCTTACAGAATGCTTGAACCTACTGCCCACTGACCATGGTAGGCAGCTCAATTTGCATTTGTATAGACTTTGTTCTCTGCTTCAAAACACCACCTATGCATCCTACCTGAATGTGTGGCTGGCTGTGGGCCTATTGTTCCAATAGGTTCACGTTGTATATATGGTTCTGTAGCTTGCTGCTTTCATTTTACACTGTCCTTTCCAAGGTATTCGCTAACTCTACCTCACTCTAGAGCTTTCTTTTTTCTTCCTTAAATGGTCATGTGATCTTATGTTTTGCCTTGATGTGTGAGGAACAAGAAGGAATGGATTAGAATCCCAGCCCAACATCATACTTACTTTGGTAGGTTTGGCAGAGAAGTGTGTTCGTTCAGGTTGGTGTAGAGTGGGGTGAGCCTAAGGAAGGTGAGGCCTCTCATCTGAGCATCTGGAAGGACGAGTGAGGTTTAAGTAGTAGTGATGGGAGCTGGAAGTGAAGAGGTCCTAGAGACAGGATGAGACAATAGACAAGGCCTCCAGACGGATGTAAATATGACAGAGCAGTGTCTCTGAGAGTAGCTGTGAAGGCCTGGAGTCATGAGTCATATGGGTGAGGAAGATTCTTGAGGAGGGGAAGGAGACCAGCTGCTCACTGAGCCCAGCAGGCTTCAACCCAAAAGAACAGGATGCCTCAGGGGCACTGCAGCAGGGCTGTGGTGTGGTCAGATTCATGGTAGAAGGGGCTAGGAGGAGGTAATAGAAAGGGAACAGATTGAAATGGGGAGGGTGAGGCAGGCTCAGAAGCCCAGTGGAGTCTACGGTTGCAGTGGCTGTACTTAGTGCATTGATGAAGACCTGGAAGGAAGCTGAGTCCACAGTACCTACGGCCTGTGATGGAAGCAGGGTTGGGAGATTGGTTCAGATGTTTCTTGGGGATAGAGAGGCCTCTCCTGGCCTCCTGTGGGATGAGTGCAGGAAGGAGGAAGACAAGATGCCTTGGCTCACAGCTAATACATGCCAAGGACTGTTTTGAGTACTTAAGCAGTGCCTGATGCCAATTGCTCTTAGCAGCTGGATTCTGGCAGCAGGGCATTGTAACAAGAGGGCTTAACAAGCAAGCGCACCAGGAGAGTGCTCCCACAGGCAATGCTGCTTAGAGCAAGCCGTCCAAAACCTTACCATCGCCTCCTGCCTAGATTCTGCCTACAATTTAGAAGCAGGAGCTGAGAGCTAGACGATGCAGGACTCAAGGCGAAGGGAGCTTGTCCTTGGCTTTCAAATATGTCTGCTGGGCATGTCTCACCCAGCCATGAACCAATGCTGGCTTCTCTGGGGATGCTGTAGTTAGGGAGATGGGACTAACTGTGCACTGCCTGACTTCATTAGCTCTGGATACAGCTCCTATCTTACTCAGAAGAGGTTCTGTAGGCCCAGTAGTTGGGCATGCTGTTCACTATCGTAAGATGATGCCAACTGACCAGTGTGCACCACGTTTTTAAAGCTTTTTGAATATTTTGATCATTTCACATGTTAAAGCACTCATAGCAGAATTTACCATTCTAACCACTTAAAAACAGACATTTTCTTTTAAAAACTTAACTATGTCCTATATTTGTGTGCATGCCAGGCACACATGTGGAGGTCAAAGGGCTACCTTCTACCACAGGTTCCAGGGATTGAACTAGACCTTTGATTTGCATCGGAAGCTCCTTCACCAGACGAGCCATCCTTTAAATGAATCTTTGCACCATTATGCATGACTTGCTATGTCTCAGCCTCAGAACCACCTGCCTCTCACCTCTCTGCTGTCTGTCTGGAGTGACTACAGGCACACTGTTGCTTTTCTCCTTTCACAAAAACAGAAACAATGTTTGCTTGATACTTGCAGTTAGTGCGGGTGTGTTGGAAACAGTCTGTCTGCCAGGGTGAGAGGCCTCACTTTAAAGTACTCATTTGCTTCCCGTATAAAGACGTTTTTAAGTTCTCAAAGTTAGCATTTATCAGTGATGATAAAAACAAGACTACAACCACAGCCTGAGTCCTTACAATATAAAAGTGTATATAAAAGCCAACAAGTAGTATACTTATTCTCCAAGAATAGTATACTTATCAGAGCCTTAAAGTATATTTATTTAAGCCTCACTGTGCTCTAAATTCCTTGTCACCCATCAAACCTATTGGTCAATAACAGAGACTTTCTGTTGGCCCAGGTCCTCCTTGAACCTCTGCCCTTACTCAGTTAACAAATGGTTAAAACACTGACTTGGATGCTGGAGTCCAGCAAAGAGCATGTCAGATATAGTCTCATCTTCATGAGACTTCGAGAGCTGTGTCAGTTTTGGCAGGTCACCCCTTCCCCAGCATCCTTCTTGAAAGCAGGCATGGCCCAGAGTCCCAGAGTCCCATGTTCCACTTAAACATCGTTTCCTCTGGGAACACATCACCAGCAAATGCAATCTTGGGGCACCTTGTGCAATGCTCTATTCTGTTCTGTGGCCTCTGTTTGCTTTTGTGTTTCCTCCCTCCTACGGAGTGCATCTTGTTGATGGTTATATGTACTACGGTCCAGAGGTGTCAAGTTTATCCACCCACTCTGCAAGTCTGATGATATCCCTGTGTGCTGTGTGCCAGTTGTTGGGCTAGCTGCTGCTGAGGTGGCTATGGAGTAGTCAGACTAGGCTCCACACTCGTGGAAACCACAGGGATGCAATTAGCCAATGGTCGACAGACATGAAGAAGTGGGACACTGTCTGGGGAAGGATGGTTTTCATGCAGGAGTGATGTGAGTGAATGCCTTGAGGATAATTAGGATTTGTCTGGTCCAGGACTGAGGGGGAAGGAGGGGATTGAGTGAAGAGGATACTGTTGAGCAGGGAAGGGAATTTAGGCAAGACCCTAATATTTGTTTAGAGGCAAGATACCAGGGATGTAATTCCAATTGCCCTGGACAGGGTTCCTTTCCTCAGGCCTTAGCCAATTTCTGTCTCCGGTCATTTTGATAACATTGGGTGGGAGGTGATACTTCACAGTGGTTTTGATTTGCATTTTCCTGATGATTAGTGGTGCTAAGTACCTCTTCAAATACCCATTGGCTGTTACTAAGGATTTATTTTACTTGTTAATTTGTGTGTGTGTGTGTGTGTGTGTGTGTGTCTGTGTGTGTGATCCTGAGTTTATGTTTGTGTGCCAGGTGTATGCAGGGACCCTTGGAAGTCAGAAGAGGGCAACAGATCCCCTAAAACTCTTTTTCATGTGGGTGTCCAGTTTTCCCAGCATCTCAGCCAAGACCAGAGGGATTGCCCTGGTCTGCAGAGAGCTGCTGAGGGCTTGGCTTAGAATGGCATCGACAAGGGCACTTGAGGCAAATGTCCCATTTAAACACCTCAATCTGAGGGCATCTGTGGGTGATGGTCTCTAGAAGCTTGTGAGAAGAGTCAGAGCTATCTTTGGGTATCTGACTTTTTAGCCAGGTAGAGTAGTAAGTAGTATAAGATGCCAAGTCACAAGCCATAGAGAAGGAGCAACAGCTTTTAAAGAACCCAGGTGGCAATGAATGGTCCAAGTTACCAAGCAACAGGGATTCAGGATTGACTTTCAAACATAGGCAGCACCTCTATTCCCAGGTTGGGAATGCTGCCCCTGGAATAGAGGGGCTCATCAGCTTGACTCTGGCCAGAAGCTCCAGCAACTATGCCCACTGCCTCACTGGGCCAGATGAGAAGACATCATTTTCTACAAGTTGTCTATTTCTGAGTTAGTTTCTTTTATTGCTACAATAAAAGAAATGAGAAAAAAATTATTGAATGTTTTTAAAGGAGCAAACATTTATTTTGGTTCATGGTTCTAGAAATTCAGTCTAGGTCAGCCAGCTGCATTGTTGAGGACTTGTGGTAAAGCAGAACATGGTGGAAGGCAATGGCAGAGAAAGATGCTTACCTCATGGCAGGAAGGGAGGGAAGGAGGAAGACACAGAGGAAGAGAAGGAATCAGAGAGAAATAAGACACATTCTTCAAAGGCATTGTCTCTGTGAATCCAACCACATGTTAATCCATGGAAAAGATCAGAGCCCTCACAAAACAGTCACTTTCCCAAAGCCTCCCCTGAGAACACTACAGTAGGGACCACGCCTGCAACACATAGGTCTCTTGGGTTCACACCGCAATAGTCAGCACCAGTTTGGTTCTTCTAGGCTGAGTTGACTCTGGCTAGGAAAATGTGCACATAGCCCAGTAAACACTGTGGCGGTAGATCTGTTTGTTGTGTCTTCATGTCTACACTCTGTGAAGGTGGAGACTGGGCCTCTGAGCAGGGAAAAGACATCAGACGAAAGCTTTTCCTTCATCTTCTCCCTGGTCTTGTGAGGTACCAGCCAAATGGGAGCCACAGGCATTTCCTCAGGTGTAAGGATTTTAATCCTGTTTTTCATTTACCTTCAAAGATGGAGACAGCTAAGCTTTTAAAAACTTAAAGAACTAAAAGAGATGCTTCTACCCAGGTGGTTTCTTTGAAACACTAAGGAGGAAGGAAGCAGGGAGAACTACTTTTGGACCAGGATGTCAGAAGAAAAAGAGCAGTCCTAGAGCAGGATCAATTAAACTGGTGTGATTTCATCAGACTTGTGAAAACAGCGGCCGTGGGACATTTTATTCTTCCAAGTGACATGTTAAAAAGCATGTTAATAAAGTATGTCTCTAGCAAAGATAAAAAGGAAAGAAGTTGGTTGAAGGTCATGGGCAGGGATACGGGAGGAGAGGTATGGGAATGTGGTCCAGGCAGCCACTGTGTAGGGCATCAGGCCAGGTAGCTGGAAGCTCAGAGCTGGCCTCCCCCA